TACATGATTTGGCAACGAAGAAGATGATTGGATTGGGGAAGGAGCATGATGGCTTGTATTACCTTGTACCAGTCAAAGAAGACGTTATATTTCGACAGAATAAGGTTGGGGTAACTGCTGCCTCTGTATCCACATCTGCCAACATATGGCACCAGCGGCTCGAGCACCTTTCCAATGGTCCAGCCCAATTTTTATCTAGTTCCATTCCTTCAATTTCTTTTAATTTTGATTCTCATTGTGATGTCTGTCCAATAGCCAAGCAAACAAGGTTACCATTTTCCTTAAGTTCTACTTCTAGTTCAAAACCATTTGAGTTAATACATTGTGACATTTGGGGTCCGCACCGTTTGCCCTCTTCCTCAGGTGCACGATATTTCTTAACCATTGTTGATGATTACTCCTGATTCACTTGGCTATTTCTCATGCATTTAAAATCTGAAACACAAGAGAAAATAAAACAGTTTTTTGCATATGTCAACACCCAATTTCAGTGTCAAGTCAAGCAAATTCGAACCGACAACGGTGCAGAATTTCTATCCATGCGCCCCTTCTTTGACAAATCAGGGACACTTTTTCAACATACTTGCACACACACACCACAACAAAATGGGGTGGTGGAGCGTAAACATCGTCACCTCCTTAATGTTGGTCGAGCACTTCGTTTCCAGGCAAATCTTCCACTCAAATTTTGGGGAGAAAGCATTCTCACTGCCATTTACCTAATAAATTGCACACCCACCATAGTTTTATCCAAAAAACTCCCTATGAAATGCTCTACAAACGCACACCAACATATATGCACTTACGGGTCTTTGGGTGTCTTTGCTATGCAACACAAACATCACCTAAACACAAATTTGATGCTCGGGCTCGTAGATGTCTCTTTGTTGGATATCCTTCTGGTCAAAAGGGGTATCGTCTTTACGATCTTCAACATCACCAATTTTTTACTAGCCGCGATGTGGTATTTCATGAACACATTTTCCCTTTCTCTCACCTTACTCAAGACACCCAACCTGATGAACTTGTGCATGTCTTGCCACTACCCACATCCGAAACCACTTCATTAGGCCCAGACCCACCTATATTTCATCCACATCCACCACAAACAACTTTACCTAGCCCCACCGAGTCTCCTACTTCACCCTCTACCCTTCAACAACCACCAAACACCTTACTTGACCATTCTCCATTCACGGTCTCCCACGATCAACCACAAAACACTCCACCTGAAATATCTTCACCGTCGTCGACCGTGTCCCCACCGAATTCTCTTGATCTCCCTAGCTCCGCAGACAACGTCACCCCACCACCTGCTTTTGGTCGCGGTTTACGCCCCAAGCACCCTTCTGTCTTATTGAAGGATTATGACTGCTCACAGGTCACCACGTCAACTTCCCAATCCACTTCTTCTTCGCGGTCAGGTACTAGATATCCACTATCCACTTACCTCTCATCTTCTCATTTATCACAATCTCACCAAAATTTTGTGAACAACATAACCCGTTGTGTAGAACCTACTTCCTTTGCACAGGCCAATCTTGATTCCCATTGGCAGGAAGCAATGAAGTCTGAACTTGCTGCACTTGAACACAACAACACATGGACACTCACTTCTCTACCGCCTGGAAAACGTGCCATTGGCAGTAAATGGGTTTACAAGATCAAGCATCGCTCTGACGGTTCCATCGAACGCTATAAAGCGTGATTGGTTGCCAAAGGTTACACGCAGATTGAGGGTTTGGACTATTCTGAAACGTTTGCACCTGTGGCTAAACTTACTACTGTTCGTTGCTTATTAGTTGTGGCTGCACAACGCAAATGGCCTCTCCACCAACTTGATGTACAAAATGCATTCCTCCATGGTGATTTGGAGGAAGAAGTTTACATGTCACCACCTCCTGGTCTTCGTCGACAGGGGGAGAACTTGGTTTGTCGACTCCATAAATCACTTTATGGCCTGAAGCAGGCTTCTCGCCAATGGTTCTCTAAGTTTTCTCAGGCCATTCAACTTATGGGTTTCAAACAGTCGAGGGCAGATTACTCATTGTTTACATGCATAACTGGGCATTCTATTACAGTTGTGCTTATATATGTTGATGACATGATCATTACAGGGAATGATCATGAGGCTATACAACGATTGAAACATTTTCTTCATCGTCAGTTCCGCATTAAGGACCTTGGACCTCTCAAATATTTCCTTGGAATCGAGGTGGCTCGCTCACAACGAGGTATTTCTATCTCACAAAGGAAATATATTTTAGACATACTGGATGATGTTGGATTGTTAGGGGCATGTCCGGTTGATTTTCCCATGGAACAAGATTTGAAATTAAGGCCAACGGATGGTGAATTGTTGAAGGATCCAACAAGATATAGAAGGATCGTGGGACGACTTATTTATCTCACCATAACAAGGCCAGACATCACATTTTCTGTTCAAACTCTTAGTCAGTTCATGAACCAACCTCGCAAGCCTCATCTTGCAGCTGCTATACGAGTCTTAAAATACCTCAAAGGGACTCCAGGACAAGGGTTGTTTTTTTCATCTGAAGATACATTGAAATTGAGGGGTTACTGTGATGCTTCATGGGCATCGTGTTTGACAACTAGAAGATCTGTGACAGGTTATTGTGTGTTTTTGGGAAAATCACTCATCTCCTGGAAGACTAAAAAGCAACATACTGTTTCACATTCGTCTGCAGAGGCGGAGTATAGATCAATGGCTGCAATCACTTGTGAACTTACAGGGCTTCGTTATTTGTTACAAGACTTAAAAGTGCCTCATGTAGCTCCAGCTCATGTTTACTGTGACAATAAGGCTGCTTTACATATTGCAGCCAATCCGGTATTTCACGAGCGAACCAAACACATTGAATTGGATTGTCATTTGGTTCGAGAAAAGCTACAATCAGGAATGATCGCAACAAGGTTTACCCATTCAAGGCATCAATTGGCTGACATATTTACAAAAGCATTGGGGAATGCAACATTTCATTCTCTTCTCAGCAAGTTGGGTATTCACAACATACATGCTCCAACTTGAGGGGGAGTGTTGAAATTCTTGTATTAATTGTAAATATTCATTGATTGATGTTGTGATTATTTTCCTAGTATAGGACGTTGATTGTAGGACTTGATTGTAGGATCTTGTCTGCTGTTGTAATTTGTCAAACTTGGCTTGTAAAGGCTGTTGCTAGTTTGTATATTAGGGTTGTACCATCTTAATATTCGATAATCAATATTGGAGTATCATCTCTTTGCACATACATACATACATACATACGTTCTGCCATTTTTCTATGCTCCGAATTGAATTTGAAATAAAACCAATCATTCTTCAAGAAGACAGAAAATGGATAAGAAAATCCACAAACAAAATCCATACAAATTCATAAAAACTTTAGTATAAATCCATATAAATTTGTCAAAATCCATATATAATTATAAGTCTATTAAAATCTTTTAAAATCTATCACTTAAAAAAAATCTATTAAAATTCTCTAAAATCCAAATTCACTACACCCTTAAGTTCCTAACAGAACGTTTCTAAGTTCTATACCCGAACTCCCATTTCCGTCGACCTTCATCCATCCTCCAAATTCGTCTGGTCATCCTCGTTTCCCAAACTCCATTTCCGTCAAGCAAAACAATATATCCGGCAAACCCATCAACGGCACCACCACAACCAGCAGCAGCAGCAAGCCAGCTTGGTCACTCGGCTGATCCATTCAGCTATCACCGAGAAGGTCAAACCACACCCTCACCCGTCCCGAGGAGGAGGGACTGCAGCCGCTTGATGTGGAAATTATTTCTCATCTGGGGGCTGATGGGCGGATACACAGCCTGCACCGCAGCTGACCCGACGAGTGGTGCAAATGTCTGATATGCCACGGACTGTACGAGTCGGCACATGTCTTCTCGGCTCACACCGGCGTTCACTACAGGGTCCTGAGTGCTGCAGCGAACTCATTAAGACTCCGTCAGAAGCACGATAAGGAGCTTCAAAATAACAAACTCCAGCTCCCGGAATTTGACAACGGCAGCGTCGCTGTGGTGCCTGTTAATCCTACAAGCACCGTGGCAAAGAAGAGTTGGCGGAAGAGGAAGATCAATCTTCCTGATGAAAGAGTAGCGGATCACCAGAATGGAACCGATCTGGTGGTTGGTCGGCATGATCACGAGGCGAATACTTCCGGCCACCAATGCCACGAGTCGGTGAGAGCTAAGAAAAAGAGAGCTCGGGCATTGGGTGTTGGTGGTGTTGCTGCGCCACCGTACAGATGGGTGCATGACCATGTGATGTCGTCTGATGATCACCAGAACCAAACCGCTGCGGTGGTGGCTCCTCAAGAGCACTCAGGCTGTGTTCGTCAAGTTAATTTGTAACAAAACTGACGCGCCATATTCACCGTTGTAAAGAAGTTTTAGTGTAATTTAAATTGTCGATAATGCAGACTGTTTATGTAGAAATGAACTGATTTAGAATAAAATTGGCGCCCAACATTGATATATTGAAAGTTCGGTATAATTTAAGTAGTCAGCGCAATGATCGTTCTAATTTAAATTGTTGGTATTGTAGATTGTTAGTCTAGTAATATTGGTGCGCTACTTAGACCATTATTTACCACTCGACCGTAATTACCTATCGAACTATATATCATTAAGTACCAAACTATTATTAACTTCCACGCATCATTTTCTTTGTTAGGGCTAAATAATCATTTCAATTAAGATGAACTTGCATTCTTCTTCCAACAATATAATATCCAATTTCCTTAAAACAACGAAAAAAGCACAGTGAGATTTGTCAAATTTTTGTTAATTTTAGTCAGTTTGTATCTCTCTTTTTTTTTACTTTCACTTCAGAAAAATTCTAAAATTTAACTAAAGATGTTTAAAGAACACAGCATATATCCAAATACACATTTATCGATCCATTTTTGTTCTTAATTAACCCTTTAATATACAATTCACAATTAAAAACTTGCTTTGGATGACCAGAAGTTGCAATTAAGTTTATATAACAAAACATTTATATACAAAGTTTTCTTGTACCAGAAGTTACAATACATCACTCGCTATAGGAGCCTAAAAATTCCTGGCCAAATCAAGACTTAAGGAAAGCTGCAGATTTGCTCCAAGAAAACGTAAACACCTGCACAATTGTGAAAATTACAGAGGAATAATACCGGTAAACGTCTTTCGTGCTAGATTAATGATTTTCTTCAGAAATAATGTCATGTAGTAGTTTTGCACTCCAAGTTACTTCAGCAAGGTTTTCTAGAGGAACTGCAATGTCTTCTGTGTTTTCTCTTAAAAGCACCCTGCATTCTGCAACAAACAAGGAAATATAGTAATTAGTAAATCATAGAAACTCAATTGTGCACGTCCTTCTGATAATGCACTGCTGAGATCCTTTTGAGTTCACAAATGGAAACTTTGTAGGTTAAATATAATGTTAAACGCCGTCTGTTATGCATTTGTTATGTAAAATGTAGGGAAAATACGTTTGTGCTGAAGTTGCTAACCTGATATTTTGCTGAAGTTGAGCATGGACATTGAAGCAAGGATCTTCTGCTCAACCTGCTCGCTGGTCTTCAGACATTGTTTTAGTGGAAAATGAGAGATGAGAAGCTGGATAGCTGAAACTCAGAACCGGGCAGTGAAGAAAGTGCGCGGCTCAACCATTCCACGGTGATTAGGCACATTCTAATCAATTCCAAGTTTTCGGATCCTAAACACTTTGAAAGGGTTTCTACAAAAGACTTCTTTCCATAACCGAGTAGTGACACTGTTAAGTTCCTCAACCAATCTTCACTGGAATTTTCTCGCTCATCCTATATATTGCACCATTAACACATTTGATAATAAATTTTCAGTTTCTTGTCACTCAATTTAGAAGGAAAAGTGAACACAATAAATTATTTTTGGAGAGGCTAGAGATATAAGTGAGTATGGGGATAAAAATGTACCAATGGAGACATGTCATCAGCTAGTGAAATGTCTTCTTTGTTGTCGAGTGAATTCACTTCAGTATTGCCACTACAATCTTCTTGCTTTAAGATCCAACTTTGTGATGAATTTCTGGAGCAAGAGAAAAACCTTCCCAAGATAAGAAGTGCTGTGCAACAATTCTTTTGGACGTTCTCATCAGTTAGGCTGCAATCAAGAGCCTCTGTAATGGCGTCGACAGCTTCTTCTCTATGTAATGGCATCGACAGCTTCCTCTCTACCTGTAAAGCATGGTTGTCTTAGCCAAACATACATTTTGATCATGCAGAATGAAGATGGAGACGTTATCTTCTAACAACGGAAAGGGAATTTCAAGATATTACCGAATCATCAAATGTAAAGTACCAATCAAATACAGATAAGCCACCACCGGCAACCAAAACAGATTTTTATTTTTATTTTTTTAATTTTAAATGAAGTTATTCACCTCTCACCCAGCAGCAACCAGTTCTTTTGAACTGCAAGTCCGTAGAACACATGAATACAGATACATTATACAGTATTTACATGAGCAACAACCACTGAATTTCTAACGTTACCAGCATTCACAACATTAAGCATGTAGGAATCTACAAATCAGAAACTATAATTCACCAAGTAAAAAGAAATCAAGTTGTCGAAAATTCTCTTTTCATACAGCATAGATGCCTTTCATTTTAATTTTAGGTGGCATTGCTGATGCAAGAAACGGTCGAGCAAAGTAAGATATTTAGGACGGAACCGTTAAAAGTTTCTGTAAACTCTTAAATTTATGCTTAATGAGTATACCAGAAGATCTACGTGCAACAAAAGGACGGCAACCAGGGGTCTGTGGTTAGCTGGAGAACTCTGGAGACACGCAAGCAGAACATCCATTGTATCCACCATCCCCTCAATCTGCAAGCCACTGAGAAATGTTGTGACGTCTTTCTTCCTGCAATGGGAAAGGAAACAACATGGAATTGGTGATGAAAATACCAGTAGATACCAAAATAATCACTAACAATTACAGTTATACGGTCCCTCATTTTTCAATAGGCATTTATCATTTGCGTCAAGAAGAAAAATAGGTGACGTATATATTGTTTCTACATCACCCTAACAGTATGTTTATGCACATTTCCGGAGATGATGAATCACTCACACGCACGATCAACGAAGATAAAAAAGACGAAATGATGGGGAATGTTGACAGGCTCATTATGTAGTGTAACTCCCACGAAACTTTTTTACCAATAAGTAAACTTTACGCACCTCTTGAGGCAAATCAATTCCGTCAACAACAACACTGCATTTGTTCTTATTTTAAATTGCTGGCTTTGGAGCATCTCCATAACATACTGTTTGTTAATGTCTCTTGCTATTTGATTCCTACAATCTGCATCTGCTTCTATGCAACACGACAGTAATGCTGCTGCACGCGATTTCTCTTCAACTTTTCCATAATGAAACCGCTGAAGAAGAAACTGCAAGCCTCCAAGAGAGATCAGGTGCTTGGCATTTTCTGTCCTTTCCTCATTGCTGAAACAAGTGAGAAGCTGCTCTAGCACGGAAATAGCAGTCTCGTCGCAGTGACTGGACACATCTCTCACCAAGGTCCCCACTACATGAGAGGCAAAAGCCAAGAGTTTCCGACAATGTTCAGATTTCCAACTACGAATCACGCGCTTTAAGATAGAGTTAGGAAGAGGCAACACTAGACATTCCAAAGCTTTTCCTGTCACCGGACATGTTCTGTTTCCCTGATCAAACCACGCCTTGATGGCCAAACGCTCAAAGGTTTGACCCGTCTCTAGGGTCACTGGATCTTCAAACAACCGTCCATTTAGAGGGCATATGAAGTCCTGAGGAATGCCCGAAAAAGTGACTCCTTCAAAATAATTTCCATGTAAATCTGTGCCAAGGAAATGTAAATATGAGCAACAGATCCAGATGTGCACTACCAAACTATATAAACCTCAGACGTTCCTTTTGACTCACCTTCGAACGAAGACCTTGCTTTGATTGGCTGCACAAGAAGAGAAAAAACATAAGTATCATAAACTAGAACTGACATTTTACAAAGTTAAAGGTTTTAGAGAGGGTGCGGTACGTTTACAATAGAACTGGCAATCGAAGGTTCACTGAAATTCGATATCATAGATAAATTGTGATCGCTGGAATCCTCCATGTGCTTCTGTTCAAAAACGGAGTTTACATGGATTTTGAGGGTGACCTTATTCTCCTGTGCATGCAGCGTACGGGGGCTTTCTGAGTTTTCTCTAGACATGTCACCGAACTGATGATTTAGGTTGCTTTCTGGTAGATCACTCACTCCAAGAGAACCCCATTTTTGCTCTTCTGTCGTGAAGAGTCCATTTTCCTTCAAAAATGTTCTAGAGCATGACGATGACACCTAGCAGAACAACGAAAATCTCATATAAATTTATATGCCATACAACAAATAACCAGATACAATATCAAAGCTCAAAAGAAGCTTGCAAAGATGCTAACTGTATTCTGTACAATATTTCGTGTTTGTGTGATGAACTATTATGTTGAATCAAATTGCAAATAAAAACTTAATTGCAGTAAGCTGGTGCTAATTACTAAAGAATATATTCATAAGATTGTCCCAGCATAGAATACAAAAACGTCTATTGAATCTAGATACTGCTAGATGTGCTCAGAAAAAGAACTAATTAACAAAATAGTCACTTACAGAAAGGGATCCATCTTCCGGCGCACTCTTAGAGTAATCATCTTCAGTGTCGTGGTACTGATATTGAACTCTTTCGGCAGAGTCCTGAGTTACTTGTTTCACAACAAATGAACCATCAGAACTTCTCGTAATAGTATCCAAGTTTTCCATCTCTCCATCATCCTCGGTATCATTAGGATCAGGTTTACTTGCACGGCTAAACACAGAATCGTATAGTTTTTTGCTGACCATTAGCTGTGAACCGCCTGGACTAGGTGCTTCCGAAGAATGACTTTCAGAACTTCCCTGCTGAGCTTCCTGAAGAGATACTACAGATGGGATATGGATAGCAGGAGTGGGAGGAGATTCAACTCCTTCGGTGAGCCAGTCCTTATAGTAAACGGCAAATTGGTAAGTCCCAGAATCCAACATTTCATTGTACATTTTTCCTAAAAGCTTCAGCTTCCTCGGCTTGTTTTGTCTATCCGCTATTGAATCAGCTTCCTGATCATACCACGTCTTTAAATGTGTCAAATGTGGAAGAAATAGTTGATCCCATAATTCAGGCAACAATGTCATTCGTGTGTGAAAGGGCGTATCACAAAAAACTTGCAAAAGATGCTTTGCTGATACACGGTCTTTCTTCAGTAACTTGTACACCACACTGAGATAGAGATGAGCACAAGCTGACAGTTTGTAATTAGGAACTCCGGCTGTCAATCCATCTTTCAAATCGGCATTGTTCAACCCGGTTATAACACTAAGCTGCAATGAAGCTCGTTTTAAATCCCGTTCACTTGCTGACTCCTCTGCTGCCTTTTCCACTGTTTCGATTGCCTGTTCAAATCTGGCAATGATTCTGCTCTCGGCATTCCCTTCTTCCAGATCAACAAAGTTTAGGAAGGAGATACATTTGTCTCTGAGTTCATGCCGGAAATTCTCATCTTTGAGAAACTGCTTAATGCATCCACTTAGAATGGAAACAATGGCTTGGATTGCAATCTCATCAAGAGCAGGTTCAGGAACTGCCCGTAAAACTTTATCACTCTTTTGTCTGCGAACATCTTCCGAAGTTTTGCTATATGATGAATCTCTCCTTGATCTGTCATGTGAGGTCTCTGGCAGTTTCCTGCTTTGTCTATTGCTGTCACTAAAACTCGTACGTCCAGGAACATATTTGTTTGAACTGTGGCCATTCCTCCTATCAAACTTCGTGTCCTTCTTTGAGCTCTCTTCAAGTCCATCGTCTTCCATACTTCCAATCAAATACTTATCCTTTCTTTTTTCTGAGCTATACAATTCGTTCGAATATATGTCCTTGTATCTCTCAAAATCTTCACCTTCAACCTCAACTATCTCATTTCGTGGCAGACTCCGCGGAAAAATTCTATTCAAACTTCTAGCTTCCCTCAACCTAGTAGCACCTGTTTCTCCGAGTCCATCCCTAACTTCTTTCTTTGATCCTCCATCAACGGATGGTCTCCTACCAGCAACACCATCACCCGTTGGAAGATCATTATTCACAGCAAACCGAGACACATCAGACCTTGTTTTCTCTGTCCTAATTCTATCCCCTGACATGGAATGTCTCTTGTGTGGATCCGAATTAGCCAAATGACGCGTAGTTGAACCTGAGTGGAAGGAGGAAGCCTTTGATTTGCTCAACAATTTTTTTCTCCTAAATCCATCTTCTGCTAAAAGATCCTGCAAAGACGACGCCATTTGTGTTTGTGTGAACTGCTGATACCAAATCCTTTCCCTTACACTGAATCATATGCAAAGAACAAAAAACCAAGTTTAATAGTAGAAACTGAATCTTTAGATACAAAACCATGTAATAAAATACAAGCAAGTTAAAAGCAGTGCAAACTATACTACAAGAAAGCACAATATCCTCTTCAAAATTCCTCCGAACTGGATGTAAATTTTGATCAATGGGTTGCTACAAATAATTCGAAACATATGTAGAACGAACTATGATCTCGTTCGTGCAGTCGTGTAAACTATGTTTGTTTCTTAAAATCCTACAGATCACAACGCAAGTTGAAAATCTTTTTCCTCAAATAATGGTGAAAAATGAACAGTAATTAAGAGGCTATTCATCCAATAGGATCGAATTTCATTTCGTAAAAGATAGAAAACTTGTTAGGTTGGGATTCATTAAGCTTGAAGACATGATTCAATTTCCTTCACTCAGAAACCATAAAAATTGGAACATGAATTGAACCCGAGACAAAAATAAAGCATTATTTTGAAGCAGTAATCTAATTTACAGAATTTTTTCCTCCCATAAGGAACCAGAATTGGATATTTGCACTCGTAAACTACGACAGGAAAATTGATGCAGTTGACGAAAAGGACTAGTACTGCAACGCGGACTATAAGTTTATAATTCAAGAACCATTGCCACAATTAAGCCCATTAAACTTACATTCAGTCCCATAACACAGAGCCTCGTACTGAAAGGCACAAGACTTTCCCACCCTCATGAACCAAAACTGGATATCTGGAATCATAAACTATGAAAGTAATCAAATTGTCACATTCGTGCTTTCGGTCAGTCCAAAAGCACAATCAGCTTCGTGCAACGAAATGCTTATCAAATGGGCCCTTATGTATTCTAGTACAAAGACCTGTGAACCATAAACTACAACATCAAGCAAATTGTAAACAGATGGAGGTGGATTGAGGTAAGATTTTAAGAAAAGCCATAACAGAAACTATGCAACTTAAAACCATGTGACATGCTTAAAAGTTAAAACGCAAAACTCGTCAACTCCCTTTACTAACCATTTAAAAGTCAAAAAGCGCGTAAAGCCTCGTGGAAGCGAAATGATTATCAAACGGACCATGATCAATTCTGTAAAGACATAATTTTTTTCTCACCTCAAAGCTCTTTTAGGCGAACTCAGGGCAATCCCGGAAACTTCAGGCAAAACCCAGTTGCTGAAATGCCAAATAGCACATTAACTATTGAATGCCGGCAACTCAAAACTCTTGTCAGTTGGCAACTGGCACAGGAGGAATACAATCCAAGAAGAAGAAAAAGGTTTGGTTTTCGATGTTTGACAAGGAAGACGGAGAGGGTGGAGGGAATCTGAAGAAGGAAGAGGGAGGAGGGAATAAAAGAGATGCTGGTTAAAGAAAAACTAGGACTGCAAGACAGAGTAAAAAACAAAAAGAAAAGGAGAGAAGAAAGTGATGGAGAATTGGAGCAATATACAACCAGGCAATCAATCAGAGGAGGCTGACATATGGAAGCTGACAGATATGAGAGAGAGAGAGAGAGAGAGAGAGAGAGAGAGAGAGAGAGAGAGAGTATGAGGTGTGTGTGTTGTGACTCTTTCAACACAACTATGTATCTGCAGGCTAACTGATGTTTTCAAACTCTTTCAACTGCCGCCCTCTTGTACTTGGTCACTTATTTATCATTGGTTTCAATCAACATCTACAAAATAAATAAATAAATAAATAAATAAATAAATAAATAAATAAATACATGGAGTTTCTTCTTGCCTTCGAAATTCTATGTTCGATTTTGCTCGCGGGTCTTCTTTAATCAATAACCGAGTGTAGATAGAAACTTCAGACATCTTTTAGAGTTAAGAAGAGAAATATCATTTAGACTAAAAACTAAATGCTATAAACACTTGAAATTTGGAAAAGTAATCCCTTTTATAAACTAATATGTTTGGACTTGAAATGACCAAGTTAATCCCAATAACTTGTATTTTCTTTCAATAATCTTTGTTTAGTCTAATAGTGGATTTAATTGAGTTGAGAATCATGGCAACAGATTGAAACAAATTCTTGAATCTACGGTTGTTTTGTTCCCTCCATATGTAATACACAATTACAAGAAAGACATACAACGATAGACTTTCCCTTCCAACAACTAGCAACCCACATCAAAAAGAGGCCCAGGGGACCTTAGTCGAAGGATGTCAGCAGGTCTACCGTCCCCAAAATGGTGTCCCTTTTGTGTCTCCTCCTTCATTTTTTTGACACATGTCATACCACTTAAATTCTAATTTATTAAAAATTAATAGGGATTAAGTAGGACAACATATCTATATATAAAGCCAACACAAATGTCAAAAATTAAAAAAAAAAAGACATAGAGGAGACATCATTTTAGAGGACATCAGACACTGGGCCTGAGGTACACCGCACTTGAGCAACACCGAAGAACAAAAGACGTGCTATTAAAACCCAACCCAGTGAATTTGAACTGGGCTTCCTTTTCATCTCTGAGTCCATAAGAAGGGATCCTTGGGCTAAAGTTTCCACGAGGCCCACAGCATAAACCTTCCACATTTGAAGATGGAACAAAAAATTATATAAACCTTGGACCCACCAAAAATCTAAAACAATTTTACATGTTACATCGTACGGAATCAGATCCTTTCCGGACTAGCAATCAAATAATTCTAATCTTTAAAATTTGATTCCGTGGCAAAAAATTATTGTAGCTTTCAAAAACAGTAAAAATTTTGACCCTTTAAGGATTTAAGGAGTAGAATTATTTGATCCAAACTACGAAGGTGTAAATCAGGAAAGGATCTACTCCCACAGAACTGGATCTTCTTCGAATCAAAAGGAACTGAGTTAATTCATCAAATAATTCGGATCATTGAAATTTGATCGAATAACTATAAATAAAGAGCCTCTAAAAGTTATAATAATCGTAACTGTTGAATTAAATTTCAATAGTCTGGATTATTTGATCATTTAGCTCAGTTCTTTTGGATCCGGTGGGATCCGGTTCCCTACTCCCACATCGTACTACTTATATATATTACGTTATCCATGTGACGTGGACCATACCAAAGAGTGTATTTACTTTCCTAATTAAACACAGAATAAAAATTTTCTTTTCTTTAATATTTTGAGGTCAAAAAATTAATACTTTCTTCTTTTTCCACCGCTTTTCAAACTTGCTGAGTAAGTTCAATCGCTCATTGGTCGGTTCCGGGTCCGCTGCGGAGAGCGGTCTCCATCCCCTCGCAGATCGTGTCATTTGTCAGTCACCTTCGCTCGTGCGGGTCCCGCGCTACTAAATTCGGCACTAGAGACAAAAAACATACAGACATTACATCTCTTATCCCGTTATAATTTGACCTAATTGACCTTACCCCTTTCCTATTTGGTGTGATTTTTTTTAATTTTAAATGCATCAATATTTTTACGTTAAAAGAGAAAGATTCGGTTAAGTCACACAATATGCAACTTAATTTGATATCGAATCCATCATTTACGAGAGTCGAATACAAGATTTTTCATTTTTTTTACCCGATTACAAATTTGACCCCCGGAAGAAGCGCAGAGGAGAGGAGTAAATATCCAAGGGTATAGCGGTAATTCTGAACCTGAAAGATGGCACGACGCAAGGGCCATGCATTTGGGCCCACAAGTGGGAAAAGTAGGGAATTTTTCTCTCTCCTCTCTCTAGGATTAGAGCACTACAGCAGCAGTGGGAGAGTATCACTACTGTCCTCTAACCTTATGATTTCCCTTCGTTTAGCTTAAACTCGCAGCACCCCGCGCCTCTCTCTCTCTCTCTCTCTCTCTCTCTCTGCTTTGCCGTTTCTCTCTCCTAGGGTTTCTCCTCCGCTGGAAACCCTAGCACTCGTCTTTCTGCTGTTTCTGTAAAACTCTCTCCTTTCCCACATTGTGTTTCCACTCACATTCTCCCTTTTTTCCTTCATTTTTTTTCAATTTTTTTTAAATAATTACTTGCATTTAATCTCTCTCTCTCTCTCTTGCATGTTTCAGATGCCGGATTTCAAAGCTTAGCTTCTCTGCTCCGCCGGTAATCGCTTTCTCTTTTATTTTTATTTTATTTTTAAATTTATTCGAGTTTTAAGCTTTATTTTTCTGTTTTTAGTTCAAAATTTGATTTATTATTGCTTTTGGATTTATTTTTTATTTTTTGAAATTTGGCGTTTTTAGTAGGAAGTAGGAAGAACCAGTAGTGTGATTGAGCTCTGAGGTTTTGATAGGAAGTGAAGGAGAATGGCGTCGTCGTCGAGAGGGGGTGGTTCGGATCAGCCACCTCAGCAGCCACTGCAGAGGCGGTTAACTCGAACACAGACCGCCGGGAACATCGGGGAGACGGCTTTCGACAGTGAGATCGTGCCATCGTCCCTTGTCGAAATCGCCCCCATTCTTCGTGTTGCCAATGAAGTCGAAACCAACAATCCTAGAGTTGCTTATCTCTGTAAGTTTTAACGGCCGGAACTTTTTGCTTGCAAATGTTTATTACTGAGTTGCTTGTTTGGAATTGCATTGAATTAATGAGCATTAAGATTTTTTTTGCATCTGGGTCTGTTTCTTTATATGCATTTCGGATATTATTCGAATTTTTGTATGCAGTTGGTACTTGGTACCTATGTCAAAGAAATTAGCGTTGTGTTTTCGCTTGCTCATGTGTGCATTTTGTGCTCGGTTTAATTGCACATGTACACACGGTTGCTTCTGTGTTTTTCCCATCTAATATTTTCGAATAGAAGGATTCATCCATGTATTGATGATTTGGAGTTTGTCTACTTATGTTAGAAGTCTGTTATATTTTTCGGAAATTATTTCTTTGCATGTTATACGGGCATGAGTTGAGTTATGTTGTCTGATATGTGGTTCATTGTCTCACTAAAGGAAAGGATTTATAGTAACTCGCCTTTTCTTACACCTGTTGTGGCAATTAGAAATCGGTCTGAGAAACAAGGGCTCACTGATAAATTGATAATATGGTGGTTCATTCTCGATATACACCACCTTTGAATTATTCCACTAAGACAATCTTGTTTCTTTCATTTAAATGTTCCGGGTCTTGTTCTCACTTCTCATTTCATCTAAATTTCTTAAATCAGTTTGTTATGATATCCACTTTATTTTGTTGGCCATATGAGATATAATTTCGTGCTGGATGTTGTTGTAGGTCGATTTTATGCCTTCGAGAAGGCTCATAGGCTGGATCCTACTTCTAGTGGACGTGGCGTTCGTCAGTTTAAAACTGCCCTTCTTCAACGTCTTGAAAGGGTATGCTGTATTATTTAGTTATCTTTGTATAAAGCTCATAATTGTATATTTTTCTAGCTATAATGCTTAGACCTTAACAAATTTGTTCCGTTGTATAAGTATCAGTTATTTTGTAGCCTTGTGCATAAAGTTTTTCATATCTCAGTACAAAGGCTCTTAAACAAGCTCTTCCTCATTTCTGTACATGGTTCTTTAGAAATTGGTTTCGTTGTACGAATCATCAGTTCTTTGTAGCCAACTTTAGATGTCTTCTACTGAATTTATTTTTTTCTAACGAAGGGAAGAAAGGAAAGCAAAATGACGTATATTGGGCTATTATGATTTTGGGCTGAAATTTAGAAAAACTATGTCTTACAGATCCAATAAGCGAGTTATTGATTTCTAGTCCTATTTAGCCAACTTTAAATGCTTGCTTAATACAATTTTCTGGGTGACTAGCTTTTTAAAGTTCTCAAGCTGACAAATTAAACTGCCATCTTGGCCTTAGTGGAAAATTTGCGAAGCTTTATTCATAGGGGGAAACTCCGCCTGTGTAAGTTTATCTTACATTGCCCGTCCCAAGCCGGATAAAGGAGGAGGGGGAGGGCGTCAGGTAGTCGATAGCCGGCATTCCACAGTTACGTTGAATCCTTATGACAATGAATCTAGAACGAAATTGCGCTAAAGCTAGGATGTCACCCGTAAGTGGCGCGCTGTGTGGCCCGAGCACAGTGATAAGTGAGCAAGGGTCGAAAAAATTTATTCTAGGATTCATATAGCCGACCCCACTTAGTGGGAAAAGGCTTTGTTGTTGTTGTTGTTGTTGTAGGCTCTGTGGAAATAAACTTATTTTCTGTTTTCAAGTCAAATTGGTTTCTTTATTTTTATATAACAAGTTCCGGCCTGGAACATGTAAAGCCCCTAAGAAATTTTTTGGTGGAGCACACTATGGTTTCATGTCAAAGAACCATAAATCGTAACATGAAAAAGTACTAATGAATTTATGTCAATATTACGTAAAATTTCATGCGGACTTGAACTTCTCTATGTTTTTTAGGTAACTAACCATGGACTGTGATAGTGTTTTGTGTTTATCTGAGTTCTACTGTTCAATAACCACACACACATACAATGCCAGAAAAATCTTGGTTTGAGAAAAGTGAGTCTGTTCTATGACCAAGTTGTTAAATCCATGAACCACTCCACCCAAAACTAGAAGCAAAAGTTGCTTTTCTGCAATGTTGATATCCTCC